TTACCCACTCCGCCCATTGTACCGCAAGTCGTTTTCCTAGTTCCGGAATTTCCTAGCTCACAAGAGCGAAAAAACCACTAAAATTCATGGGCGATAGGTCACTCGCTACGTGTGATTTTAAATATTTCTTTAAATTGAATAGTCACATAACCCTTTGGAATTTTCATACAATTGCCTTCAAACCCCACTAATCAGAACACTAGACTAGCTTAATTCTCCGAGAGATGGAACCACCCCATTCAATAACAACGACTGGGCAGCACCTGTATCCCTAAGTATCTTAACTTGATACCAATCACAGCCATTTTCTAGTGAGACGCGACAATCAGACATAAATGCCTCATAACCATTGGTTGCTTCATTGGTCACATTCTGATTACATTCTCGAGTGGGTTTACCCATGGAATTTTCCTCAAGCTTCTCATCAACAGAAGGGAGCGTTTTGCCCTGGAGTACCCTTGTGATTTGCTGGCAATGAATGCAATAGGCTTTTCAAGCTGATCCCTTCGTTTGAAACAATTCTCAAATGTGTGTCAATTTTGCCACAAAAACTGCAAACTGTCCCCAGCGTCCACTGGCTTAATGGTTGGGCGGCATAGGTTCTACCGCACCCCAGAAAACCAGAGTTCAGAATCCAACAAACAACGATATTCCAACGGTTTTAAATCCGGCAGGAGATTCCAGAGCGCATTCTCCAGTACCCAGGAATGGGGTTAAACTTTGGCGCAAATTCCATTTCAAAATCGAAAGTTCGTTGGACCAAAAATACTAGAGGTCAACATAACTTGTAAACATGCATATTCATTAACAAATTCTTAACAACATTGATAGTTATATCCCACACAGTCAACACTTACAAAATGCATTGAAAACATAAAACAGACGTATCGAACTGTAATGTTTACGATTAGGAATAATTTCTATTTAATCAAGTTTACATTTTTACATTTCATGCAAAAAAATGTCTCTGAGCAGTGCCGCCATTCGCCGCCATCTTGCCTTCTCAAGGCGTTTGGACCGCACCATGGTTTACTGTATAAAGGTGACCCCCTGTAACGTTCTGGTATGGTCCGTCTGACCGAGAGGCTCCGCAGCTCCGTCTTTCGTGGCTGTGCAGAGGATGTTATTTTCGTTGAATAAAAACGACTTTTTCCCCCCAAATGTTGCCCACTGTTGTTAGCCAAATTGTATTTTAGGCATTATATTTTTATGTTATTGCATTTCTGTCGACTCAGAACGTGATTTGGGTGTGTTGATGGTGTGTTGATGTTACTATTATGTGTTGTCACGTGTTGATGTTGTGTTGACATTACTTAGTACGACCGGTATTTCGGCCTATGCCAAAATGGCACGAACGACAACAGCCGTAGGGTCCAAGTGCACATGAGCGCGCTGCTACAGTGTGAACAATGTCTGTGAAGCAAGTGCCATCTCGCAGATGGTTCCCGGCAATCTTCAGTGCAAAACACACGCATGTGCACTCTGACATAATCACTGTTGTTTGTCGTTCTTGCCATTTTGGACATGTATAAATAAAGAGGAGCCCAGTGATTGTTCAGTGTAATCCCCAGTGCACTGTGGCCAACTGCCATTTCAACTAGTACATCATGTACGGTAGCTGTGATTGATCAAAACTGTACTTGGACCCCACTTATATCGTTCGACCATGTCCAAATGTTTAAAAAAGCAATTTTGTAGGCCTACGAATACCAACCATTCGATCTCTTTCTAGAAGGAACACGCTCACAGTTTTGTCGAAAGACCCTGATGCAAGAAGACGACCATCGCAGCTCCAGCCAACTGAATGTACTTTGGCAGTATGATTTCCACTGAATTCCTTCGTCCGGTTGTGGTGCAGAAAATATTTTTGAATTTCATCCAAATATGACGCCATTTCGGAGTAACTGCAGTATGCCTACGATAGTACGAATGAATACGATGGCATTCAATGCATGGGGGATGCTAAGGCTGCATCCGAATCTGTTGTCCACAGCTAGGTCTGGGTCTTCACTCCATTGGACATGCGTGGAGACGCGTAGAAAATAGACCTAGCCGTAGCTCTGGAAGCCCTTTCAGACACGGCCTAAGGTCTATGGCAGCCATTGTGGCAAAAAAAGACAACATGAAAAATAAAACAAAATTATATAACAAACTATTTTTCAAATAAAACAAAAAAGAAAGAACTAAAATTAAGAACAATGAATAAACATTCAAAAATTGCAATTCAAAAAACGAAAAACCAAATGAAATTATTCAAAAGTAAGTTAATAAAACGAAAAAAGAACTAAAATAGAAAACTAAGAATTGAAAACAGACAAAAATCAGAATCAAACAGAAGATATAAAAACTGAAATATCTAAATATAAATGTAAAAATAAAAGTAGAAAAAGAAGTAAAAAAAGACAAAGAAGAAACTGTTTATAAAAAAAAAACAAAGGAGAAATCTACAACAAAAGTGACAAAACAAACTGCTATTATTGTTGAAAAGAAGTAAAAAAGAAATCTCAAACAAAAAAATTGCAAGTGGCAACACAAAATTGTAACTTGCAAAACAAAATTGTAACTCGCAAAACAGAAATGTATCTCACAAAACGAATTGTAGTTTCGTAAACGAACTGACCAACTCTTAACGTTGGGGGCGTGAAAAGCTCTGCATGCAGCGCGCGTTTGTTTCCTGAACTTCGCTCGTCAAACGCGCAGCACCGACTGTGGAATATTTCCGTCGTTAAAGTTCTGTGAAGTCTTTCCATTTCCTTAATAATGTAACGTCTCTCTTGGGGTAGAGAGTTGTTATCATAAATAATAAGAGCTATTGGACTGACTTATACACACACTACTGTTTTATTCCGAAGAATTATTCACATTTTCTCCATATTTACAATGAGCAACTGCTACTAGTAAGGCTGGATATTAATCAAGTACTGCTCGTCCACACCCTGAGCCACTTATTCGGGAATGATGGAAAGGTTGTTCATATCGGAGCTATACGCTCACGAACGGTCAGGGAGTTTTTTCTGCAAAGCTGCCCGCTCGGGAATGATCGATGCTGACCGTTGGAGCTGGTCGCTTTACATAGACTTTTGGGGCCGCGTCTTAGCCAATGGGAGCACTGGATTGGGGTGGTTATGAATAATTCATACTGTAGAAAGTCTATGGAAGAAAAGTCTATGGGGATTTTGTACACACTTGGTCCTCGCTGACTTAAGTTTCTGAAAAGCGATAAGGTCCGAGAAGTTTGGGAGCGGGAGGGTGAAAGGCTGTTTGTGGGTGAGCTACGGGGGACTTAGTCAACGAGGGAAAGGAAAGGGTGAGCCTTTCTTGGTACATTGGGTTGTATACAACACTTAGTCTCTGGATGGCTAAGAAATCTACACGGAATTCTTACGGGGTAAAGCTGATGGTAAGCGGAGGTAATTGACCTCGCTGTGCTGTAATCGGACACAGGCTTTCGGTGTGTGGTTTGGCAGGACACATTCGGTATGAGTTGGGGGTCTGTGTTGGTCGAATGTACGGGTTATATGTGTGATTGAAAGTAGGATCGACTCTGAGGAAAATTTGGGGGGGAATGATTAAGTTGGAAGTGTGCTTCGGAGTTGCAGTTCAAGGGCATGTGGTGCAAGTTCAAGGGCATAATGGTGCGGAACACACGCGCGACCCCGTTGTTCTATGCAGCATATAGAGCAACGGGGTCGCGCGTGTGTTCCGCACCATTATGTCCGCATGGTCGTAAACTTTTTTCAGGCCCATTATGTCCGCCCCATTGTTTCCGCAGGGCCAATTCTGTCTGTAAATGCAAATCAGTGTCCTGTACTGACATGTAACATACCGGCTCTGCTCTATGAATGATTAATTTTCTGTCTGAATTTTAAGGGTTTCAGGGGATGAAAGTGACGGGCCATGCAGTCACACAAGTGAAACTATAATCGTTTTTGCAAACTTCGTCAGTCTTTCGTATGCATTTGTTTGGAGTTAAAAAAAAAAGAAGCAGACAGGTTTTGCATTGTGCACGCTGAGAGGGATCATCATTAAAAAAAATAATAAAACCCTTGAAATAGCACCTTAGGGTTTTAAAGAACTGGTGGAAATGTTTTGGCAATTTTAACCCATATTTTTGATTTTTTTTTAAGTTTAAATGCAATTTGCACATCCATAAGGAAATCTGTGATTGAACTGAAGGCACTGAATCTCAATGTTGCAAATGCTCGGTCAATTTTAAATGTTTTTATTGCGCATCTGATGCAACTCAAATGGGATGTCACACAGTCTTCATACATCAAAGAAGAGTGCAGAGATACACAAAACGTGCTTAGAAGTAAACCTCATTTCATGGATCCTTTAATTAAAACGGAGACCCTTAGCTGACTAATAACGCTGAGGTGAACCAACCAATTTATGTTCAAACATTTTAAGAGTAATATATTGGGACTAAGAACAGTAATAAATCAAAGCTAATAGCAACGGAAAGCTGAGAGGTGAAAATAATATTTGTGAGTGCGCTTTACTTTTACTACGGTTAACAACTAAATAAAAAAAATTAATAAGGAATATTTGTAGTTTTACCTATAGCCATCCCCTCGGAATCACAACCAAGCCCAGGTAAAATTCCTTTCCTTGCCGTCGCTTGGGATTATTAATATGAAATTATAACGAATGCTGTATTAATTGATTCTTTCAACGTTAATGATTCCACACTTATTACATGGCAAAGCGGTGGTGCAAATAACATTTTGAGTGCAAAGAACAGTTCTGTGACTACAATTATAAAGAGAATGTAAATGAAAACAGAAAATTTAAGAAAGTCTGTTGTATTCCTCAGGGTGCTTACCAAAATGTTACATACCCAGGGTTGATTATTTCTCCCACCCCCCTTTTGGATTAAAATCCTGTATCTTGAACCATCCATGACCGGTTGCAAAAAGTACAACTTTGCCATAAAGCAAACCCTTGAAATTTCCAAAGACGCGACGCAACTCAATTGCAAGTCCACTGTTTTTCCCTGTGTATCTATACAACTTCGCTAGTGACCATTCATATAGCTGCCCAACAGAAACCTCCCAAGCGTTTTCCTCTGTATGTGCTACAATATCTGAGGAAACGTGTACTCTCGGTAGAACTGTTTGAGACACAAGAGCATTGAATCTTACACTCATTGGGAAAAGAATCTTAAAAAGGCCAATGTAAGCTGATGACAATGAAATGATGTTCTTTAGGATAAGTTCCAACACTTCGTTTGGTAAATCACATAGAAACACTCGTTTGCTTGATTCATTACATGGAACAGGCTCGTGATATACGCTGTACCTCGTAAGATCTGGTGGACCTGCAAAAGAGCTGTCAACATGGTTTGAACCAGCATCTTCACCTGGCATTTCTGTATGTTCCCTGACCCTGGTCATAGGCTCTAGCCTAATGTAGTGGAACTCGTACTTATGTCCAAAATACACCATTCCAACGTACTCTTGATGCTCAGGTTCAATGAACGTCAGCCCACGATGTTGGCTGGAAATAACGCCTATTCTGACGCTATATGTAGTGGCAGCAGCATGTAAGGAAATATGATCTCTCCATTCATTTTCTGACATTCTCTGCAAATATTCTTCCTAAGATAGATTAGGCACGATTTCAGACAGGTGGTCATCTCTATGGCATAGGGTTCAGGCGGAGCCACGAGACAACATCAGACCTAACAGTTTGTTGGTCAAGCTGACTTCCCAAGAGAAGACTTAAATTTTGAGCCAGCGAATGAAACATGTAACTTCCATCCTATGGAATGTTTCCTTCGGGAAGCAATTCATATTCTAGTGCGTGTGTAACCAAGTCGTCCCGAGCGGAATAAAAAATTGCATTCCGGCTAATATTGTTTAAGAAGTCAAAGACAGCGTGGCTGCACTTTGTGTATTCTGGGATACTGAACATTTGGGGGTTATGTTCCCTTAATCTGCACTTCAATCCAGAATGTCTGCAACACTTGTGAGACATGAGGTTCGAACACAAAGGTACAGCTGAACGCTCACCGTTATCATCGTTGCACTGGCAAAACAGGATAATTTTCTTCAAAAGATGGGTATGTAATTTCTGTCTTTCTGTTTCCTTGTCTTTTGTCGTCGCAGCAATATCGGAAACCCAAAACCATTTTGCAAACAATTATTGACCGCCCTCCTTGAACTTCACTTTATACGTATGTTTTTTATGATTTGTTTTTACTATCTGACCTTCATGTATTACTTTATTTGAAACTTTGCCTTTCCCGGTCATCCTTATCAAGACTTCGTCAGCAATAAGGTACAAACTAGGAGGATTTTTAACCATTGATCTTTTTACCATATTCTGTGCATTCTTCCTAGAGACGCGACGAGCTTTCTCTCTCATACGTTGAACTTCGCGCTGCCTGGACCTAACAACACCAGAATGACGGCAATCACTTGCTGCAGCAAGGATATTTGTATTAACCTTTCTTCCATAATAGACTTCAAATGGTGTTGCCCCAATAGCTTCGTGGAACTCTGTGTTTCGCAGAAAAGCATATTTTTTTACACTTCGGGCCCAGTGACTTTTCTTCGTTTTGACAAAGTCAAAAAGAATTTTTTCTTCCACGTGCGATGTGATGACTCCATTTTCCCTTGGCTTTGTGGGTGATATGGTCGTCCTTTTACTCGAATCATTCCCCTTTTTGTGCACAAATCATTGACGTGGCCCAAGAACTCTTTGCTGTTGTCACTTTGTAAAACCTTGGGCTGGCCTTCTGACAAGTAAAGCTCATCTAGTATTTCCGCAATCCTTTTACTGTTTTTTTTTTTATGGTAACGGGAAGAGCTACACATACCTACTAAAGACATCCATAACACTTAGAATGTACTTAAAGGTTTCCATCTGACTCGAATTTGTCATCTTCGCCATACTCACTAAGTCAACTTGATGAATCTTCTGTACATCACTTGCCATGACAGGTGTTAATGGGGCTTTGTTGAAACTGCTCACCCAGTCGTTTTGCAACCTTCCTGATACTTCATCCTTTACTGG